TATATATTAAACACAGGCACTACCTCCTCAAGAAACTGTGATATCTTAGCATTCTAAAAGTATCGTTATTCGACAAACGTGAGTAGGAAAACTTTCAACGGTTCGTGTAATATTTATTAGAAAATATTGGCCAAGCACTTAAAAGATTTAACTATGCAAATAAATTTAAATCTTTTGTCGATATAATATTTCAGCTAAGTGAAATGAAAGTACACCTTTTTGTTTGCTACTTGAAATATTCCTCCTAATATATTATAAATATTTTAAGGAATATCAGTTCTCTCACTATTTAAAAAACCAGTAGAAAAACAACATTAAAATAATGACGATGAGTATCTTTTCCAAAATGCTTCTTATGATTGTTCTATCTGAATGATTTGATATTTAAGATCAATAACAAAAAGTGATTATTAATGTATTATATGTGGAAATTAGTTTCTGTTAAACTTATTTCGAACTGAAACGTCTTTGTATTATTTTTCAGTTTGTCTACAGCAAACTAACTGATAAAAACAATAACGGACCAAAGCAATCGAACAATAGTCAAACGATAAATGCTGCGTCGCTTACTCAATCGGTCCATTCTTTGATCATTTCAATCAGTTGAAGTATTACAATCACATAAAACTACAGTTTTCTCTTTTTTCTATATTTATTGCCTACATTATTATTCTTATCCAGTTCGTCTGCACTTGATTTCAATACTTTTTCTTGCATTGACTGCATGTTACTAATGCATGCAACATCTTTGTGTTCATCAAATGGAATTTAAGTAAGACATTGAAATATATTTCGCATCAAAAATCCAAACTTTTAAAGTTTGTGAAATATATTCGAAAGAAATGCAAGGCAGATTTACATACCATGAAAACGTAAAAATTCCCAAAATTTTATAATCATTGTTTGCAGAGCAAACTACCCCTCACCATCCAATCAATGACTGATTGGTTTTTTTTTTAACCAGCAGGTGTAATAGAATTGATTTCCTTTGATGCGTTAGGTCGGTGTGGATGTTGACAACAAGAACAGCAGATGGTAGCTAACAGTGAATTTTGTGATCACATATGTCACGGGTCTGATTTTTTCAATTAAGAAAAAATCAGACTTCTGGATTCCTTTTTCATTTCTTTCTGGATCTCTCTGGGACATTCTTTCAATTCGTATAAATATTTTCTTTTTCCCTTACTAAATAAATATCAACAAATCCAGAAAGCATAAAAAGTATACAAAATAATATGTCACATGAGGAGTACGTTGTAGCATTAGAAAGAATATAAAAGAACATATGCATAAATAAAATTAGGTATAAATAAATAAATAAGAACACTGGCGAATGGACTTTCTAGACCTTGAAAGAAAAAACAATTTCAAAATTCAAATTAAAATACAATTAAAAATTTGACTCGTTAAATTACTTTGCCCTTAATGCCGGTAATTGGATGAAAAATGAACCTTTTTTCCTTCCAACTTCAACCCAATAACCTTCAAATTTAATGTTTCAATTGCGTTAAAACTTCCTTTCACGATGTTTTACAGCGTGAAAATTCTATAACAACCAAACACCTAACGTAATATTTTCTGGTTGATTAAAAGGACATTAATTACTCAATATATGTAAATATTTGGAAGTTTCGCAGATGATGTCACAGTTTTGTAAATTATTTGCAATTTTTAGCAAAACAGTTGTCACGATTCTTTAAGACAGAGCTATTCTTCCTTCTCCGTTATCTTTTAAAGTGGAAATGTTCAAATCTGAAGCAACACTAAATCCTGCATGTCGGTCGCATAAATCAATTCAAACAAACACTGACTCATACGGCCTCTTTATTACACTGATAACTTCACTAAATGATCGATTGAATCGCCATAAATATAAGCAGATAAAAGTACTAACTGTACTTTTCTTCACTTTACAATGTTAATGTTTCTGACTTCCGACTTAATGGTGCAAAAATCTATAAATGATAAAGTGCTTTTTTTCTACAGCAGAACAGTTCTAGTCCAAAAATATTTTCAGCGAGTTTGCAAACCAAACCAATTCGCATCCGAATACTTTTTTTTTCAAAATAGACATTTTTAAGTTTATTTAGTTCAAGATTATCATTTCCATTTTAAAACAAGGAAAATGAAATATTTACATGTTTTAAGTGTCAGTCGGCAAAGGATTAGTAGTCTAAAGATGGAAGCAATCTGTCTTGGGTGAAAACTTTGTTTACCTGTATTACTAATGTCAAGAAATTTAAATGGTTAATGTTGTGAATCTTTTTAAGCATTCTAAGATTTCATAAGGGATATCAAAATATGAAGTGCATAGGAAAAACCGAAAAATTGAGATCGAGAGAATTTTATTATTTCATCTGATTAACACAAAAGCATCAGTGATGAATAGCGATGATTTTCTGCGAAGTTGAATAAACAATAAAAAAATTTTTAAAATCCTAATTTCAATGTGGACCTAAATTAAATAAAGTAGTAAACAAATCTGAATATGAAAAGCTAACCATTATCAGGTACTGACCGCTCCCTGACAATTCGATATGACTTTCTCTCGTTATCGACAATAGATGAATTGTTAATATTGTTGGAACCGCCGCAATGAACAGATTTTGATAAGACGATAATAAATACATAAAGAGTTAATGCAAAGGCTGCAAGCATACTGCATTGGTTAAAAGTATATCACTTCATTTTTCAAAACTGAATTTTATATTTGATATGTTTGACTCTTACTAACTGGTTACAACTCAGCCTTCTACAGTTATTTTCAGATATCAACTCTCCCAGTATGCCTATTAACACCTTATCGGGTTCTTATGAAGAACTTACGATGTAATCCATCCGCTAATAGGGTTGTATATAATTTCTGTTCCAAATTTTGTAGTTGTGCTTCATAGTTAAAAAACGTTGGACTAAATTAAACAACAGTCAAATTAAGCTCATTCTCAAAGCAATATTAAATCCACATTACTCTGAAAGCTTACTGAAAAAAAACTTACACGGATTAATATCCATTCACATTCATACATTTATGAGTAACAATGGATCCAAAATGTTGTATACTTGAACAAATGTTGTATACTCATACCAAAGTACATTCCAACTTCTAGCTCTTTACCACAGACCATCCATTATTAAATTTAAGAAATCTTCAAATTTAACTTTTTGATGACTTTATATATTATGCTAAAGTAAGAATAGAATGCCGAACATTATTATTACCAGTGAAGTTACAAAGGCAACTGTGTTACAAAACCGCGTAAAATTTAAAAATCATGTGATGCATGTCTCGTTAATGGTTTCGATAAGACAATCCACGACAAATCGATGATTCTTTGTCTGGAATTACCGTATAGGTTACAGTTTTGTGTAATATCAAGTACTGTACAATCCCTGACCTCTAATCTCTTACATAGCTATAATCCCAGTTTCGTCCTTCAGAAGAGCAGAAAAATCCAAACCGTATCAGCACGGAATAATCTTCCGCTCAATCATCTCATCAACTGTACTATGAAAAAAACGAAAACAAAAGTCATACTTATCTCCGGAATCCTGGGAACGTAACCTAATTACCAAAGATATAGTTAATAAATGCATAATTTTTTATTCTTTGATCCGAATTTGTATCAAGATTTTACTTTTTAAAAAAAAATGTTTGAATTGGGAAAAGCCATTATTACCACGGAAAAAAATAACAAATAAATTTATTGCCCAATTTTTTTCAGAAAGTTAATGGAATGATACGGAAAGAGCTCTCAGTAAGATATCCAAATTGTGCGATTTTGGTTTACCTAAGAAAGGGGGTAGGGATCTGATAACAATCATAAAAACGAAATCAAAATTGGAAACTGACTGGCTGAGAATGTCACTTACTCTTGGGTAACTGAGAAATGACAATCAGAAATTTTTCAAATAACTACAATTGAATCAAGATTTTTGTTACTCAGCTTTTCAGAAAAAATTGATAAAACAAGAGATTATGTCTTTACTTGGAAAAATGCATTGACTTATGAAAAGACTTTTTTGAAACCAATTGACCTTTTTGAATTGACTTTTTGCATTGACTTTTTTGAAACTAAATTTGAACTTTTATTTGAAGCAATATTAAACATTAAAAGGTAGAAATAATGATTCAAATTTTCCTAATCGAATTCAAACCAAGTAATGAGAAAGATTTCATTGTGAAGAATGGTAGAATGGCGAGTAATAAAAAGAAACAAAATCTGGAAGAACGATAAGTGGAAGAAATAATCTCACTTACTCTCAGCTACTTGTTTAACTTCCATTTCTAATCAGCCCATTCCCGTTCAACCTGATGTATCCCAATCCTAATCAACCTAGCAAAAAAGTTATGAAAGAACATGAAAGAAATAAAAAAAGAGATTTTAGATTATATATATATCGTTCACTTAGTCCAGTAAATGTTAACTGGACAGGACAGACTCAGTTTCCGCTATACTCATCATACAATAATTTACTTATTGTGAAATTATGTCAGAATTCAACAGCAATCGCTAAATGAACTAATGAAAAAGCATCAAATAAAAGAGGACCTCCTCACAGCATGCTCATTTCGAGAAAGAGCTAAACAATATTGCATCAACAGATGAACACACATTTTTTCTAGAATACAACTGTTCAAGACTCGCTCTTGTCAAAACAAAGGCGTAAATGGTCGAGACAGAAAAGGAAACATCAAGAATTGTTAAAGACAGAGCAAAAAATAAAGAGCAACAACACGCACAAAATTGATAGAAGAATAGAAAAGCAACCGAGCAACATTCTAACAACGACGCTAAGATCACGTGGGCGTAATACTTCGTTTGAAGGAAACGCTATAACCCGCCCCGATGACGCTTACTATGTGAAACGTAAAATGTGAAATACATTCTCTTTTTCCATAGAAATACAATAACTTCTATCATTCCATATCTTATCCTTTTGATAACCTCGGAACACATCCCGAATCCCCGCTTCCAATCATCAACAGAGTAGCTAACTAATAAAATGAAATGGAAGAACATTGCGGACGATGCGAGGTCACACTCCCCCGCCCACCTCGATGACCAGCTGTAACAAAGCAATGGGCGGGCACGGGCCGTAATTTGTGCTGGGCGTGGCCCATCACATTCTGATCCGCATGTTCAAATAAAGCGCGCCAATTTAAAAACATTGTTGGAATGGTTGCGTCGCGTGTGCGCGTTTGCGCGGCCTCGCGTTTTTTGGTGACATGCGACAAGTTGGGTGGGGAAAAGGATTTCGGTTCAGGGTGGTGGATTTCTTATTGCTTCAGGTTTTCCGTAATTTCGTTCGAATTTTTGAATTTCATTTCTCAGTTTGTTTCCTCTGTAGTTAATTTCATTTCTCAAGTGCATATGTATTTATTTGCAGAATATGATAATTGAAATTTTCGTACATGTATCTTCACGTACTGCTTGTATTCAGTGTATAGCCATGTTATTAGGCGTATTGAATTAGATGGTTAGAAGAGTTGAAGGAAACATTTGAGAAGTTTATTCTATACTTGTTCTGAGCTCCTTACTATTTTTTTCTTTTTTTTTCTTTGTTGGAGATTTTGAAAATTTGACTTTCTTCTGGAGGTTTAAAAGACTCGAACAATCAATGACCTTAATCTGACTGTTTGTTTGAAAAATTTGCATAGTGGGTTACTGAAGATTCTTTCTTTGAAAAGTTCATGCTGATAAATAAATCAACAAGTGGTAACGGAAGTTATCTTAAAATACATGTTCATATTCACATTAGTAGACAATATTCTCGTTAGCTATTATCCGTATATACAACATAAATATTTTGCTAAATGACACTGTAAATGTTTTGCTCGTTTGTTTTATAATCAAAATCTATCGTTTGATTTTAAAAAAAATTTTCATTATTCAGATGAGAGCTGTACAAACTAGAAGGTATATGTATTGCTAACTATTTTTATTAAATGTGTGGATTTATTCTTTGCTTACTAAATATCATTCGATCAACGAGGCATATTTTCATTAAGTTGACAGTTAGCTTATTATTCTTAAGTCTGGTCATTTTGAAATGATTGTAAGAATTCGTACTTAATAAGAAAGCATATGAATTTGTCTAACATGAGGACCTTTTACTAAGATATACCGAATTGTAATGCAGTGACGGTATCGCCGAGCCGCGTATTACCTAAGGGGTTCAAATATTAACGGACCGCGTTAAAATTCAAAAACACGGCCTTGGAAAGTTTTTTTGGTGGAGGACATGCTAGTTCCTACAAGTGTTTAACTGTTTTGCTTTGTTTTACTTTGTTTCTGGTTTGCTCTAATTCCTATTTGTATATAGCTTCCTACTGGAAAGTAATTGTATTTTTATCGTGTTAACATATGAGTTTCCTATAATTTGATTGAACAATTGGAGGTCAATTTTTTTTTTAGATTTTGGAGGGGAAAAATTGATTTCTAATTGTCACGCATTCCAATTTTCAATCGCCATACAGTTTATTTAATAAGTATAAAATGACGGAGCGGAAAACGGGTGGCTGGCTATCTTCGGTAGTTGGTAATATATCGGGCCTTTGGTCACGCTCACCGGCTGAATCAGCTGCTATATCGAGGGAAACGATTGATACTCGGAATTCCTCACGAAATACCTCTTATGAAGAGCAAGGTGAAAGTGACGTGGGAGAAGAGGATGACGGTATTATTGTCGAAACTGTATGTGCTGGGCCATCTGTTAATGTACCAACTACAAGTAGGATTCGTAAGCTTTAATTTTTCTAGAATTATTGTAATTCATTTTCTGGAGCTTGCCGTTCTTTAAAGCTTTATCATGATGGGTTAATGTCACTGGACTTGTTGAAAATCAGTTTTTAAAACCGATCAAAACTTTCACTATCATTTATCAAAGTTGAGAATCGCAAATAAAATAGTAGAAGCATTAGTGGGAAACATTATTGAGCGTTCTTGAACAGAAGTTGCACAGTAGTTGAATATTTCAGTTCTAAGCTTCAGAAGTTATTGTTCAAGAAATGCAAAGTGAATATAATTTGTAGAAAGTGATGTTACATCAAAACGGCACGCTGTTCGTTATCTGAGTCCATCGACACTCTTAGCGGCCACACGATCTGTTACCAGCTCTTCTGACAAGGAAAAATCAACAAGTGTGACCGTGAGGATTCTGCATATTTTTGTTTTATTTTTCTTTCTATAAGAGTGTACTATACAACGGTCTATTCGGCAACTTTTTAAAAATATTTCCTCAGTAATATAATTTTATCCGTTGAAATTTATCCTGCTTTTTGATACTTATGTTTTCTTTGACTAAACTGTTAAACTCGAAGGTGTCCGTAATTTCAGCGAAAACGTGCTGCAACAGATTGCCTTTTACAAGATGATATAATGTGGTCGAATGTCGGAAATACATTCGCCACTTCATCGATGATGGAACCTTTTTCTGGTCGTTATTCTACAAAACGGTCAAGAATCCAGCGGGATTTTAGCGATGAGAGGGTTCATTTTTACCTTTTTTTTTCTAACTTGAATTATTTTATTGACAGTTTGCTATCATAGTTTCGAGTAGCAATTTTTTTTTCTTTCTCTTTCACTATCTTGATTACTTGATTTTATAAAAAATGAGAAAAAATAAGATAATGAAATTCATGCATTTGCAGTCATTCTTTTCGTTATCTTCGTTATCTGATGCACCATCAACTGGACGAAATCAATTAAATCAGTCCTTTGCATCCTCTTTTATACCACTGAATTCACAAGTGATAAAACCTAAAGTGTCACGTCCATCCAACAGTGCGGCTTCATCGTTAAGCAGTAAAACAAGAGCTATTCTTGAACAATTAGAAAAAATTAGCTCACCCGTTAAGGTAACTTTTAAATTTCGGAGGAATATGTGATGTTTTCATAACTTATCTAATCAGGGACGAGAATATCACATACTAAAAATGAAGGAATGTACTTTTTTTCCTATGGCTTTGTAGATGTTTATAATTTGAGTTTCTAAACGTTTTATTGTCTCACAGGAAGTGAAACGATTATCATCTTTAAATTTAAATGGGCCAGAACGCTGGGCGAGTGACGCTATAAGTAGTACTGTCCAAAAGCCGCCACGAAATTCCACGTGCGCCTTATCACGTGCTCAGTTAATATCCAACATTCTTGCCAGTAAATCGAGTTCACCGTTCTGGTTTGTAAATGTATTTGTCCACTTTATAATATACTTGGTGTTTTGCGATTGAGTTTTGATCAGGAGTGATTTTAATTTCTGTTAGATAAGCTGTAGTACATATGCTGTATTATTTTGATACTAAATTGTAATGATAGAGTCGTTTTATCTGATTTCTTTTCGGGATTATTGTTTACCTATTTAATGAACAAAATCTTGACTGTAGGAAGATTTGGCATACCTATGAATATTTCAAGATTTCATATGTCATATAATTTTTCATATAACATAAGATTTCATATAATATATTCATAAGTCTTATTATGTTCAATAATAACACTTTTAGGAGTCGTCCAACCAAGATGATAGATTTTTCTACCACTTCAACACATACTGTTCAGACACCAGAACATAGTCGAACAGACGCTGATAATGAGCGTCAATTTGATAAAATTTCAACTACAAAATCACCTGGTTTACTCTCACCTAAGAAAGCTGATATTCCGACTTCTTTAACGAAACCTGACCGAGAGAAATCTTTTGTCGGTGATAATGTAGAGAAGTTGGCAATGTCACCGAAGGTTACGGCATTGCCCGTATCTACTGTGATTAAAACTACAGATACCGTATCACCGCAACTTTCTTCATCTACAAAATCGACTAATGTATTCAGTGCTAGGGATTTGGGTGTAGTGAGTCCAGTAAAGGAAATGGTGAAAAATGATACAAATAAAATGGTAAAAAAAAGTTTCAAATTTGAACTTTTTGATAACTTTTGTTGCTTATTTTGTAGTTGAAAAAAATGGATGTCACTTTTTGTTCCAGTTCTTTTTCGTGGTAGTTGATTTCCCTCAAAGGATGATGTCAGACCAATAGCTTTTTCACTGTTTTGCTGAAGTTCGAAAATTTTACAGCATAAATTTATTTTTAGGCAAGTTCAACCAAAATTGATGGTGTTATGTTTGCTTTCGCTCCACCAATGAAACGAGGACCTTCGGCAAGTTTCCATCGTGAAGAAACTTCTTCAAAGGTTAGACTTTTATGCAATAAAACTGAAGTGTCATGAGGAGTCTGCTCTTTGTGGTCGATGGAAGAGTATGTTATAAGAGTTAAACATAAGGTTGTACGAACCGCTAAACGTCATTTTAATCCAGGTCTCTCGATGTACCGCATCATTTATTGGAACGACGCTCAAGGCTGCTGCTGAGAAGACTGTAGATGGTTTTTCATTCCCTGCTGAAAATGTTTCAAAACAAATTGAAGGTCCTTATTTAATTTCGGCTTTTATTGAAAAAAGCTTAAATGGGATGAAATTTGTTGTATTATCTTATCAGTCGCTGTTTCCCTTGCAGTTTTGAAGAATTTTGAAGACGAGCCAAATACTGCAGATACGAATAAAGAAACGCAGCCGGTCACTGCAGTTTCTACATCTGTCAAGGTCTGTATTGCATTTATTAATTTTTTTTAGATTTTTTTCGGAAATTCTGAAGATGTAACAAGCATTACTGTTTACACTTCGTTTCAGCCTGCGAATGCTACCACTACTACATCAGATGCATTATCTGTGAAACAGCCGTTAGAGAAATCTGCTGAACAATGGTCATGTCCGAAATGTATGATTTTCAATAAAGCTAGTATTGAAAAGTGCATCTGCTGTGGTTATGAAAATCATATGGTAGAGGCCAAGGTTGGTTGTTATTGTAGCTATAAAAAAAATGATTCTGCTTAGAAAATGTGTATTTTCTGTTTAGAAAAAAATAAAATGGATATTGTGACAAATGATTACGGTGTAAAATGTTTAATGGAAGTTTATATCTATAATAAAGTGTTTAATGGAAGATTATATCCTCTATATTTTCATATCCGTTTTAAAATTCTTATAGCCATGGACATGTAGTGAATGCTGGATTTCTAATAAATTATCTGATGACAAATGTATCGCTTGCGGCAATCCTAAACAGAGTAACGGTAAAAGTGTAAAACTAGCTGATATCAGTGCTCAGAGTAGCTCATTTACCAACGTTTTTGGTGATCGTACTTTCAAACCGCTACCCACTTCTGGAGGTATTCATTTTTTAAATTTTCGCAAAGCTGGAAGAGTAACGAAATTTCTGACAGTCACTTTTTTGCACTGATTATATCAATTACCCGTCTCTTTTGTGTTATGCTGCTTTGTGTTTTGAAGCGAAAGAACAATAAAAGTCATCCAACCGTCATCCAATGTTTTATTTTGAAAGCTAATTTCAGGTATTTCATTCGGTTTTTCTGCTGCAAAAGCTATTCCTGACGGAGCGAGTTTATCGTCAACGACAACTGCTCCACCAACAACGAAAGCGCTAGATTCAGGCACTATTGTTAATGGAAACGCTAATACTGAAGTCCCACTGAAATTTGGTTTATCATCTAACACTTTGGGACCAAATTTTGGCTTTGGAAAAGCTCCTGAGACAAATTCTCTGCCAACAGTAATTGAGGGTTCGTGTGCCTGGATGTTTGAAAATACTTGAATTTTGTACTTTTTAAAAGTCTTGCATTTTTATCATATCAAAATATATAGGTTGCAAATACCTCCTTCATTCAACAAAATTTTTATAGAACAACCTTTGGTCTTGTCATCTCATCCGCCAAGTGCATCAGTAACTTTTGGCGTTTCCTCTGGTTCTGCAACAACAGCTTCATTTGTTCCTTCTTTAATTCGCTCATCATTTTCTTTCCCGACGTTAACTATGACAACATCAGCAACGACAACTCTACCTCCATCCGGAATCACCTTCAGCACTCCAGTTTCCACAAATGTGAATCCGTTTACGTTTGCGTCATCTAATACTACAACAGGTGTGTCGACTGCAATCTTTCGAAAGATATTAAATTATTAAAATTATCATACATAGATCCATAACAGCTTTAAATCTCATCTTTAAAATTTAACGCAGAAATATTTAGCTGAGGAGATTAAAGCACCAACTGCACCGTTGTTTACCTTTGGTTCTTCTGCTCCTGCTGTCATAACCACTGCATCTGCTGTAACCACTGCCACTCCGTTACCATCATTTGGTACAACTTTGCCTGTGTTTTCAGCCCCCAAAGGTGAGATTTTGTTTTTCTGAAGTTTTAAAAAGTTGAGTGCAATTTAATGGCACTAAACATATATTTGGCATCTGGAATTCCGCAAATAATACGGAGAAGATTCATATATGAGTTATTTATGTTTGATGTTCTTTCCAGTCTCTTGAAAATATTTCAATTTTATAGCACCTCTTTTTGGAACCAGTGGTGGATCTGCTTCAAGTCCAGGAGGAGGTCATGACGTTGTCGAAATGAGTTCACCCATGACCCCACCAATAGCTCCATCGGTAACAATTGGATCGTTTGGAATGTGTAAACCGTCAGCTCCTTCTTTATTTAACTTCGGTGCTTCGAATACTTCAAGCTCAACTTCTACTGGGTAAAGTGATGCTATGTTATATTACTTTCTACATTCATTTCGGAAAAGAATTAGAGGACATCCATTTTATAGTTAATAGAATGATGGTAAAGTGTAAGATTTAATTTAGCTTTTTTTTCTAAATGACTTCTAGTTCGTTCAAAATAAATTTTGGAATACTTGTTGTCGTTTTGTACCAATAGAAGTATTGAAGAAATTATTCATATATTGGATTTACAAACCAAGTATGATTTATTAATTCCAGAACGCTCTTCGGGAATTTACAAACAGCGGTACAAAATCCACTCGCTGCTCCAACCACATCTTTATTTTCATTTGGACAGCAACAAATGCCAGTTGCTCCGAAGCCTTTTGAGCCACCAACTTCATTGACATCGCCTCCATCAACTTTCAACTTCGGTGCTACAGCATCGAATGGTGCTGCGGGATTTGTCTTTGGGTCGACTTCGCCGCCAACAAATTTTACATTTGGTGCACAGCAACCAGTGAATAGTTAGTTATTCCTTTGGTTGAATTATGTTTTTAATATTTCGTGGTTTTTATTGTTTATTCCGTGTTAAAAATTTCTTTATTACGACTTTCGCAAACAGATTTATTTATAACCCGACCACTGTGCTATTGTTTGAGAAAGATTGTCTGAAACTTCGTATATTATATATCTTACTTTTAGATACAGCTTCAACGACATTCAACTTCACTCCTGCAACACCTACTCCTTCTTTTGGGTAAGAATACTTTCAGATGGAATTAGTTTTTACTATATCAGAATAAGCTGAATTTAAAAGAGAATTTTTAAAGGTGTTTTCCTATCAAAAGTTGGTAACAATCGGTTCAGATTCTATCAATCTGTCGTCTATACTGGTGTTTTCCTCTTTGCAAATCGCATTTTTTTTAAAAAAAATTCTTCTATCTCCATGTGATGTATTCTAGAAGATAATAGTAAAGTTTGTTTATCTACAAAGATTTGTTTTAATTGTGCTCCTCATTTTCAAAAAACCTTTTCAATTTGTTAGTGATTTAGTTCTGTTTTTTTATAACTTGTTCGCAGATAATGAAAATTTGCAGAAATGTTCCGGGAGCAGCACCAACACCAAATTTTTTCTCTGTGGGTTCAACATCATCGACAAGTGCTCGGAAGATGTTAAAAGCGCGGCGAATGCGGAAATAATCATGAATTCATCTTTCAGTTCTTATGAGAAAATATTGCCTCACGTACTAGTTTATAATTAGTTGGTTCGCCTAATATTCTTCATAATGGCAGAATCTCTTGTTTTTTTTCTTCAATTTTTTGGGATCATAGAATAAATTTTTCTCTCCTTAGTATTTTTTGGAGAAGATATGCTTCTTCAGAAAATATTAAGGGGAAAAAATTAAAAAACAAATCATCTCATTTCAGATCATAAGGATTTAATTTTCGAAATTTTATGGGCGGTGTATATGACTTATGGTAGAAGTCATTTTTCCTCTTTCTTTTTCTAATTGTTTTGATTTGTTTATTTATTTGGAACTATTCATTCGTTGGCCGTGCTTATGGCTTATTTGGTTACATCTATGATGATTGTACGCATAATACTACTTGAAATCTTTTATCTTGAAAGTGCTTCAGCGAAAGTTTGTAAGTGTAAAGTATTCACAAAATATTAGCTATGTTTAACACTCATAATTTGAAGAAAATCCCTAAAAAGACTTCAGTACTTATGCGGTGAACAATGGATGATCTTTATGGTTTCAATAAGCTTTGCGGTCAACGTATTATTATGTGCTCAATGCGGTTTGTATTACTGTTGTACTGTTATTGAATTGTCTTCAGATTGAAGTATCTTGAAAATCCTGAAATCAGGGTTATAATTATAAATTTTTGATGCATCTTTCAGGATGGTTGGATCCTATATTATTAGCATTGCCGCTCTACAACTTTTTCTCAATTATTCGCGTTTGAAAACATCTTTAGATCTCGGGTATCAATTGTTGTTCATTGTAATGCGGTTAACTGGATTTACATTTTCGAAATTATGTTTGAAGATGTTAGTTGTTTAAACGTTAAAATATTTTCCATGTATAAGTTATATTCTATTTTTTCTGGTCCTTTGCTGAAGTGTCAGCATTATGTCCAGTGTTTTTTCTAATTCATTTCAATAATTTTTTCTCTTATTGATTACTTCCAATTGTTTTATTCTTCTTAATCCAACTTCAGCATGTCCTTTTTTAAGTTACATATCGTAGAAAGATTCTAGTGTTATTGTATCAAAGAAGGCATTTTGAAAATCTTCAATTGTCTAGTATTCGGGTAGAAGCTGCTCTGATTCAGTTGTGTTTTTTTAAATTCTCATCGGAAAAAAAATGATTTGCTCTATTATCTGATAAACTGCCTTCTTTCCTTCTGTTTAATTGGTATCCTTATACACTTTTTTAATTCTTTTTTTGTAGAAACAGATCGTTAAAATGTTTCATAAATTTCAAATTATTTTGTGTCTCCTTTATTTAGACATTATTTGAAACGAATGTCCTCTGATAATATAACTTTTGGTTTTAATTGTGTTGACGTTCGTTGAATTTTTTGCTCCAACTGTTTTCTTTTTGTTTTGAAGCTAAGCGATATTTTGTAGTTTATCTTTTTTGAACAGTTTAATGTTTTTTTTTTTGATTTCTTCAATTTGTTGCTTGATATATTTGCTGCAAAAACAATAAATATACTTTGACTAATTTTCTACTCTTAAAGCAGGCAGTATCATAAACGCTGTTCGATAGTTCGATACTTTGTATTAAATTTATGTTTATTGACAATTCCGTTAAGTGAAGAAGAGCATGAAGGAATTTAAAATGTTTGACTGTCCGAACGTAAGGTGCGAGTTTGAATTTGCGTGTACAATTCAACATTTCATTATTACATTTGATCAATGAGTTCTTTTCAAGTCTAAATTTAGTAGGCTGCGTTATGAAAGATTTATGAGTAATTTATTGCCGGTTAAATACACCGGATCAATCCTAAACCATAACTCTGGAACAAATCTTTGTCAAATAAGCTTAAATTTTGTCTAGCTCTACTGACGACAATATTAGGAGAAAATCAGAAAAACATAAGTCGAAGGTGAGTATTATCATCACGATCTCATTCTTGGTGATATATTTGATATCTAACAAGTTCAGAATATCATCTGTACAGTGAAGTAGAATTAACCATAATTTACTTTTTTTACGACACAATATGACAATTTACGAAGAGTCGTGAGTTATAGGGCTTTAGATAAATTTTTATTCAAGACTATAAAATTCCTTTTCTGTTTAGTTGAATAGCTTGCAAACTCTCTGAATGTGAGACCTGTCAAGATAGTACTTTGTTTTCGATTTCGATAGATATTAAAGGATAAAACTTGTAAAACAAAGAAATAGAGTTTTTGATCGGTTGAATTAAAGGTCATCGTATTTCATCGTTTTGAAAACTCAGTATTGTTTTTTTTTTGCTTTTTTGGTGCATTTCTTTCGTAAGATTTGTAGTGGCAGTTTTTTGTAATTTATTTCTGCAGAGTTCACAAAATTTACTTTATTTTTCTCTAAGAAGTATGCAATATATATTTTGAATTAGAACCGTAGTTGTTTGATATTTTATAGGAATATCATAAAATTAAGAATTATGAAACGAATCGAAAAATTATGTGACATTAATGTGTGATGAAGAATATTCTTTCAGATTTGAAGGAGATAAATTGACCATGAAATTACTTACGCATAATTTTCTATCATCGGTCTTTCTAAAAGGGGTCACAGAAGGCTATCCATTGATTTTGTCAGCGACAAGGAAAGAAATAAAGCAATACGAATACAATGATTCCTTTTTACAACGGATAATTCCAAAGCTGAACTATGATGCCTTCCGAGAAGCAGCGCTAAGCATAGGTGAAGGTGATAAATTGCCGGAGCAATTACCGGAGAAATTAGAAGATGAATTGAAAAATGAAATGCATCGTTTGTTGGTGTGTGTAGAAGTTATCGAAGGCGAATTAAAGTGTCCTGAAAGTGGACGGGTTTTTCCAATTCGCGAAGGCATACCAAATATGCTTACAAGCGCAAATGAGATCAAGTAATTTGTTATTGTATAGCAATATGTGTTTTAAATTGCAGTGTTATATTTTTTATTTTTCTGATGTAAAGTAAATCGAATTAATTAATTATTTATACTTTGATGTTTTTTATTGTTATTTCTGGAATATATTTGAATTCACGGAATGAATGTTATTAGCTGTTTATTGAAGAAAACTACATATTACTACAATTCATCATTTAATATCATTTTTTTGCTCGATTGCAGAAGAAGAAATGGATCGCATACGCTTTGCTTAACCAAATCAAAATATAGCGAAATACATAATGAGATATCTTCATTCCGAAAAGTATGATTCATGGATGTTACAACAGATTTTGCCATTTTTCTCGTTCCAACTCTTCGATTCGCTGTTGCTGAAGATTGAATTTAATGAATTTAAGGGATGAGAGTTGAGTGCAATAGGTCCGGTGTGAATAATCAAGAGTTGAGAAAATTTAGGCTTATATATGATCAAATCACTAGACTTGAAGTTTGAGGATTAGATTGTAAGCGATATAAATATATGAAAGTGTTGGGTTGCTTTTTTTTTAAGACATCATAATCATGAATTCTCCCTAGAATTAGCGACAATGAGAATAGCAAAGACAAGATCATTCAATTCATTTATTAATTAAATGATTTCAACAATTATGAAGTGACACTAATTGTTTACAAAAGAAAACTTTAGCAATATGTGAAAAGTAAATAAAAGACAACTTGTTGTTCGATGACTTTTTCTTTAGCCATAAGTTTATCACGTAGGACGGCAACTGCACCACAGTCATATTTCCGTTCATTTAGTTTATCGTTGAGTAAACGAATCTCTTCGTCCTGTTTCTTAACTTCCGTTTCAAGCATGATTAATTGCTTCATTAAATCATCGTACTGAAAATACAAGTACAAAATTACAAAATTCATATCCAAAGAATAATATGTATTCTTCGAAGATAAATTCATAATTCTGATTGTTTTCATATTAGAATTTCTTTTTCTTCTAATTTTTAAATTATATCTTTTCCATTGTGGCCTTACATCAAAAAATGGAATAACTAACCTTTTCAGCTTTTTCTCTTAATTTACGTAACTCTTCGTCAGGTATATCATATATTGTGATTTTATTCATTTCAGTGGTATTATCTGCTGTTTTGACATCCTTTGGCATTTTTTCTTTCTCGTTAATAGCATTTAATAATAATTCGTTGCTTTCCTAAAACGAAAATTAATATATCTTCAGGAGTTAACTAGTT